AAGCCTTTTCGCAGTGGCCACTGGCAGGCAAGCTCCTTCAGGGACAGCTGTTCCCAGGGGTTGAGTGGTCAGCCTCTTCATTGGCCAAGGCCAGGGGGCAGGTGTGGAGGAGAAGCCTTGGGGGCCAGCGCTCCCCCCAGTGCCCGGGGGGTCTGGGGAAGCACAGTCCTCTGGGTCGGTGGCACTGCCTGGGATCTGCCGTTCTGGGGGCCACCACGGATCCTGGCAGAGGCACAGATGTTCAGAACTACTCCCACAGGTTTTCAGGGACGCATGGGGCTGCGTTCCAGCTTGGTAACATGTGTCCCTGACCACTGAACCATCTCTCTGGCCCCTGAAGAGTCGTCCTTAGAGGGTGAGTGTAGACTCAACCACCTAGGGCCCAGTTTTAACTCACGGGAAACCTGAGATTCTTAATGTCTGCCTCAGGCTGAGGGTAGAGCTAAAGAGAGAGTCTGAAAGGGGGAAAAGCCCAGTAAAGGTCTTCACCGTAGGGCCAGAGAGATGGCCCAGTGGGTAGGACATTTGCATGCCTGCACGTGCCTCTGCCTTGACCCCGGCAGCCCAGGAGCGGTCCCTGAGCGCAGAGCCAGGAGTGATTCTGCAGTACTGCCAGGCGTGGCCCTCCCCAGTAAGGATCAGCTTCGTACAGAGAATAAGTATCTTGATTCCCACCCTCTGCACCTGCAGTAGGAGCAGATCTGCACTAGTGTGTCGTTACCGCGGACGTCTCCATCCCTACATCGAGCTGAATTATCAGCGACTCCAAACAAGGTGGAACATCGCCCTGTCTTCTGGCTGCTCCAGAAACTTCCGGAGGAGATCTCTCCCAAGAATCTATAAAAACGAAGATGGCTCTGTGTGAATTTGTAATTCTAAATATAACAATAATTTAGAATGACAACACTTTCACTTTTAAATAGATAAGGAAATGATCTAATTTAGAAGGCCAGTAATATATTCAATTATGCGTCTTGTCAACAGAAGCAGACTGGGATTAATCTGTTCAGAGTGTGTTTGGGAGATTTTATAAGGACTGTACTTAGGGGCAATAAACGTGCCGACACTCATTATTGTTACTGTTCGAATCCCTGGGGAATCCGGAGGCTGGCGCTGAGTGAATATTTGATGAACAAACGCTGTGGCTTCTCCAGCAGAAGCCAGAAACGGCGGCCGTCGGTTTGGAGCAGAGCGCTAGGGTCCGAGGAGAGCCAGACACTTCCACGGAGAATCACCCTCATGAAAATGATACAACTTGCCGAGTGGCTCTTGTCTTCCAAGAGATTTGCAAACACTAATCACTGCCCAAGAGTCGCCAGTTCCTGAGTCCAGCCGTCAGCTCCAGAAGCAGTGGCGGATCTGGGCATCTGCAGTGGGCTTCCTTCCCAGGTGTGGGGGTGGAGAGCGCTCTGCCCCCGTGTGAGATGCAGCTCGAGTCTGCGGTCACTCAGTTTGCTTCTGTCCTGAGCTTTCCCTGGACAGGATGTATGTCGTCAGAGGTACGTCTAACTGGACTGGATGCTGCGTGTGGCTGAGAACAGAAAGATCATCACTCTCTGTGGGTTCCCAAACTATTTTATTGCAAGGATTTTAGTTTGACTGATTTTATTTCTTTCAAGACTATGTTATTTACCCACCAAAAAATCTGGAGTTTTGGTAAGGTTTTAATTTTCACCAGGCTCACACAAGAAAAATACTTATTTTCCCAAGTAGACTCAGGGAAAAAACAAATGGTTTCAACAGCTGGCTGTACAAATTAGTCCAAAAAGCAAAATATGTATTTTAAACATTACTCTCTCTGCCCGGGACTATTCCAAGCACTGGCACGAGGACTGGGAGATTAAACATAATGGAGAAAAGGAATGTGCTTTTTTCATAAAAATGTGTTTTTCTATGGAGAGGCATGAAAGAGAACCTCATAGTTCTATCTATAACTTTATGAAAGAAAATAAATTGTAACATGGAAAAGCAGAAAACAACTAACCTTCAAAATTGGGATTTTCGTATTTTTCTGTTATGGCTCCAGAACCAGCCACAGCCATGCTGAGACCACTCTCCACACACATGAAGGAGCCGGCAGAGGAACCCAGGCATGCGGGTCCTGGGGCTGAGATCTCCAAGTCTGCTTGGATCGGGACTGGGCCTCCTCCACCCAGATCCCCCATCTTCCAGTAGGTAGGCGTCACACCCACCAACTGCCCCCAGCGCCAGGTAATCCCATCAACGGCCAGGACCCAGAGACTATAAAACCCAGCTCCCAGAAGCTAGACATCTTATTATCTAGTTCTTACCCTGGAGAACCCGGCAGGATACCGAAAGCATCCTACCCGCATGGCAGAGTCTGGCAAACTCCCCGTGGCGTATTCAATATGCCAAAAACCAGTAACAATGATGGGTCTCATTCTCCTGACCCTGAAAGAGCCTTGAATGTGGCACTTTCTAAAATCTCAAGGGCTAGGACAAAGGAGACGTTACTGGTGTCTGCTCGAGGAAATCGATGAACAACAGGATGATCGTGATCGTGATCGTGATCGTGATGTTTATTTTATGTATAACCTGTTGTGAAATTAAACCAGATTCCTCAACCTGCAGCTGCATTAATGTACACAAGCAACAATCCCATGGGATGCAGAGTACCAGTGGTAGGCAAAGGATTCTGAGCCCCCACTGGAGGCGAAAAAGATGCAAAGTCAAACTCACTAATCGGACGGCAACGAGAGCAAAGAATCTGAATCATAAAACTATAAACAAAACAGTACTGCTTTCCGGCTTCTAACTTCCTGAGAACATAGAGGATTTTTTAAATAATGGTAATCACTGCTCTGATTTCTATCACGTTACCTATTCCCTCTGCGGGAGCAGCAGGGGGCCCGTGACCCCCGTGAGAAGTAGCTCGTCTCACGGCGGCTGTGACAGTGTCCCAAGTGCCTCCGACTGATTCACTACCCGACCCTTCTCGCACTACTCGGCCCCCTCCCTCCCTGGGCGAGGGCGGTCCATCGCCTTCTGCTCCTAGCCACTGCCTCTGTGGTTCCCGTGTCTGAGCTGCACTGGAGAAGCAGGCGCAGTGCCCACGTCCTCCCATGAGTTGAGTTTGAGCAAACAGGACATCCGCATGCCGTGACTTGGCACGTGGAGTGGAGAGAAAGAAGGGCACCGTGGCAGGGTCGGAGGGGTCAAGGCTGTGGGGAGCTGTGGTGGGCATGCAGTGGCCACAGGACACATGAGTCAGTGTCAGGGTCGGAGCTTGAGGTCCTGCAAGCCCAGCGAATCGTCCCGCAGAGGAGAGTGCTGCTTCACAAGGGCCGTGGGTGGCACTGACCGCGTGGAGACCTTTGAGCCGGGAGCCATGCTGGCCCCATAGCACCAACACTGCATGGGTCAGGCCACGTCAGTGCTGTACATGCGCAGACACCCTGTTGGTAACTACTGCCACTGCCACGTGGTCAACATCGTGCCAGCACCAAGGCAGTCAGCCTCGGGTGCCCGTGTCACGTGGTCAGCCACGCAGCCAGCATGTTGGTTAAACACTCATCTCAGAGTCAGTCGAGTGACTGACCTGAGTCCCAAGGCCATCGTGGAGATGGGACCTGGCAGCAGGCGTTGGCTGTCATGCGTGTCGGTGTGGTGTGGTGTGTGCCGTGGTGCCGGGCGACCACAGGTGTCACATGAACTGACGCCAGCAGGTACTCTTCCGTATGAAATCCCTGTGTGCTCGTGAGGTGGCCCCTGGGAAGATGCACCTCGAGAGGCTGGGTGAGCAATCGGCTCATCCTGGGACTGGGCCAACCACCTCCCCAGCACTCGGGGCGGAAAGGGCCAGCAGCGCCTTGCTTCTCTCCTTAGGGGCGCACGCCGGCTGCCGGCTTCTGTCTCCACACTTGGACCCGGAACAGGAATTCCACCAGCTGCTTCCAGGCCTGGAATGGAATTCTCAATCTGATTCTGTTTTAGCCCTCTCCCACACGGCATTGCAGGTCAGCTCTTTCTCTTCCCATTAGACACACGCGCACGCGCACACACACACACACAAACACACAAACACACCCACGAACACACACCCACGAACACACATTCGCACATTCATGAATGACTCACAAACACACACACATGAACACACACAAACACACACACGAACACACAAATGAACACACACAAACACACGCACACGAACACCCACGAACACACATTCACACACTCATGCATTCACTCACAAACACACACACACGAACACACACAAACACACACACGAACACACAAAGAACAAGCACACACACATAAACACACATTCACACACATTCACACACTCATGCATTCACTCACACACACACAACACACACACTCATACATTTTAAAAAAATTAAACTTTGCTCCAAGGAATGGCTCCTGGGGGTCGGATTGCCCAGATCACTCCCACAGGCGTCTGTCCTGCCTTCCTGCCACTCTGCCCTAACCCACCTTCCTCCGGTCCTGTCACTGAGCTCAGAAATTCGAGTTGAGGAAAGTTTTGTGTGCAGACTCTTGGGCAGAGAGAGTTCCTGTCCCAACTTATTTTCAGAGATAAAAGCTCTTCAGGCGTTGGAATACCTTACAATTTTTTCTTCTTTTTTCTTTTTAAACAAAGACGTAAGCCTCTTCACTTTACTCCCAGGAAGGTGGGAATTTTAACAGAGTCCCTGGCCTGGAGGGTGCTACCCCCTCAGGGGTGGTGATCGCCCCCAGTGCCTTTGTCCTCTGCCTGGTCCCCCCCGCCACCCGGGGCTCGGGGGGCAGAGCAGAGGGGCCAGTCATGCTGCCAGTCATCCTTGCCCGGGCCATGGCCCTGGATGTTCACACTCACAAGTGTTTAAAAGTGTTTTATTAACGTACCAGAGGTATTTACAAGGCCGTAGGAATATACAGGGTTTCTTCCAAACTAATCTGGATCAAGTACCACCCGGTGAGAGGCGGCTGCAGGGCTGATGGCAGGCTGGTCAGCCCCGGCCCCTCCCAGAGACTCGCCGCCTCCTCATCGCACAAGCGGCTGGATAGCAAAAAGGTAGAAAACGCCGAGAGCTGACAGGAAGTGGGCGCTGGGTGTGAGCACCAGCCCTCCGGAGCTCAGGCCTGTGGACAAAGGAAGCAATGATGACTCCCGGGACAGGGACACATTCCAGAGACGCTCCTGCTCTCCCTGCCTTTAGCTTCCGGAGATACCTTTGCCCTCTGCCTAGGATTACTTCTACTTTCCGGGTTACTTTTCAGTTTTATTCTTAATGTTTTGGTGGGGCTCCTCCTTGGGGCAGGGGTGGGGGGTGAGGGGTGTTATCCGGCGCTGCCCTTGAGCCTCGAACCCAACCCTGAGCTGTTCTTTGAAACAGGAGAGGGTCGAGGAAAGTCCCAGAGCTGCCGGCCCAGGACCGTGCGGGAGGCTCTGGGCCACGTGCCAAGGGGGCCCCACTCGGACCACAGCCACGCTGCGAGGAGGCCTCCCTGCCCCTCCAGGGCAGCGCGAGAACCCCTGTATCCTCCTGTCCAAGACCCATCCCAGGGACCCACGCCGAGGGTGGTTGTGGTTTCACTCAAGCAAGGACGCACAAGACTGTGCATCACTGACAGAGGCCAGCGCCGGCCCTGCCCTCCCTGGACACTGCCTGGCCGGCACTCACTGGACATGCGGGGGATCCTGATCTCCTCACTGCTGCTGCCATCACCCCCGTCGCTGACCGTCCTGATCTCCACCAGGTAGTCCTCCTCCACGGGCACCAGCAGCTCCGCCGACGTGTTGTTGGTCTCCAGGATGTGGGCTTTGCTCTGCCGGTTCTGCCGGTATAGGATCTGGACAGATGGGAGTGGCCAGGGGGTGGTGAAGGGGTTCACTGCCCAACCCCGCCCTGTCCCTGCCCACAGGGACGCCCCCCCACACACACACACAGCAGGAAGGGGACATCGAGGACCTCTGACACACAGCAGGATTGGGCACCTGCTCTGATGGGCACAGGCTGGTTCTCCCTGGCTGGTGTCCTCTGATGAGGATGGACCGTCCCAGAGCCCCTGCCCTGGATGCCACCGGCTCTCCTGACCATGTAGCGGCTGAGCATTGCCCAGTACCCAGTGCCAGGGTCTGTCTGCACAGGGGCGGGGGAGGGGGTGGCTGGCCATGGGTGGGCCCCTCACCCAACCTCCTGCTGCTCATAGACCCCCAACTCCCAGAATTCTCCCAGAACCTGTGCTCAGGTCTTATTCTCCTCCCACTCATGGCCACACACACCATCTCGTGTCACTGGCCAGGGGACACTCAAGGACACGGCCACTAGGCGTCCTGGAGCTTCCCCTCTTGATCTGTGAAGAAGCTCCAGGGAAGAGCTGGGTTTGGCTTTCTATGTTGGGGTTACCCTGAGCCCAGTGCTCTGGAGACTAGCCCTGGACCTCGGGGTCTGACTGCCACCCGCCCAGCCCTCATCCTGGCCTCCATGAGGAAGCAGCCAAGGGCAGCCCACTCCTCCCCTCTGGTTCTTCATTCCACATATTTCCTCATCATCTCCTAGAGGATGGACAGTGGTAGGGCGGGGCCAGGCCCACCTTGTAGCCCAGCACGGCCGACTCGTTCTCCATGGTCCTCACGTGCTCCCAGTTGAGGCATAACTTGGAGTTTGTCAGTTTCCAGGCGATGTTTGCTGGCGGTTGACTGGGAGCTTTAGAGAAAAAATCAAAGGTCTCAGTGAGCGTGAAGCCCCCATGGCACCCCTGGGCCTGAAGGATTCACACAGAAGCCACCATGCGCCCATGCTCATGAAACACCCTACCCATCCCTCCCATTCTCATCTGAAACACCCTGCCCATTCTCACCAGACTAAGCAAATTATTCCACGTCCTGGGAATGACCCGAGTCCACGTTCTACATTAGTGAACAGTGCTGCTATTAGTTGTGACACTCCAAAGTTAGTGCGTGCCTCTAGCCAGACTCTGTCACCTCAGGACTGAGCCTCCTGGAGAAACTAACCTCCAAACACTCAGGTACAAGAGTCCTGAGACTGAAACCCCCAGGCCTTCCCCGAGTCAGGATGGGCTACCTCCCCCACAGCCCTGTGCTCCTGGAAGCCCCGGCAGCCTCGTCATCGTCCATACTCCAGAACCGCTGCCCAGCATGAAAGCATCAACTCCATCTGACCACCCAGTGGAAAATTCTGGACTTCCCAGAGCGCACAGCAGCAAATGTGGCTGTGTAACATCCCCGAACTCTACAACACTGACCTCCCACCAGGAGCTCTCTGGATCGGACGGGGTGTAACTTAGAGATCAACCAATCTTGACTAACAAAAACATGAGCACAGAGGCCTGACTAGCAAGAGCATGATAGTAACCTCAGACAAGGACCTAATGTCTCCTCTGAGATACAGTTTTCACTAACTTTCTCCTAAGAAAATATATTTTATTCCATAAGTAATTTACTGATAAGAAACAATATAAATAAATTACTCTAGGCCTGTTACAGGGTCAGGCTTAAGGGGTGGTTGGGAAAACTGGAGACAATATTGGAGGGATGGTGACATTGGTGGGTTTGGTGTTGAAACACTGAATGCTCGTAACAAATCGCCATGAAAAACTTCGCAAACCACAGTGTTTAAATAAAGCACGGGGTAAAAAAAAATGCATAGGTAGGCCTTACCTATTTCATGTAAATTCCAAAATTAGCACACAATGTTTTTAAAAGTTTTTTTTAATGGCATGATTATTACCATAATGAGATCCAAGTACAAGATAAAATTTAACACAATTTATTTTAAATTCCATAGTTGAAAATTTACTTATGTAAATTATAATAGGAATGTTATTATATTGTATTAAATGGTTTTAATTTTCTTATTCACGTAGGTTAAGATCATACACAATCGCAAATCGGTTTAACTGATTTATTTTCTGATCTAACTGCCATTGATATTTGCAAATTCTTTTGTTGGCACAAACAATCTGGCATAAATTTGTTATGTGCCTAAGGGGTCAGGCTGGGGTTGGTGGAAGGAAGCTCACACTGGGTGTGTTAGAACACTATATGCCTGAAATGACTCTATTATCAACTTTGTAAATCACAGTGCTTGAATAGAAACAAATCTAGAAGAATAGCCGACACAAGTCCCAAATAAACGTGTACATCGCTGGTGTGGGTCCCTCCCGGGCGCGAGAGCCCTGTGGATCGGCCCTTCCCTGGCATACATGGGGCCAACTCCAGACCCAAACCTTTGCACGGTCAGTGCGTCGTGGGCCTGCTGGTCTCTGACAGGTTAGAAGTGGGCTGCAGGGGGCTGGCACAGCTCAAGATGTTGTGAGCAAGCCCTGGGCACAGGCCGTGAAGGATGCAGGAAACCTCTTAGAGCCTAGCAGACGCCATAGAGGACAGCGAGAAGCCCCCCGACTTCTTGCTGCATTTGGGCTGGGGTCTCCTCGCCACGGGCCTTTGCTTGGCTGTGCTCGTGGATGCTTGTCTCCTGGGCAGCTGAAGTCCGAGACCCTCACACAGAGCCCAGCTGGAGTTCCCGGGTCCAACTGGTGGGTGACGAGCTTTGGCCGTTGAGGGGCTGAGCCCAATCGTTCCTTGGTGTGCAGCTGGGCTGGTGTCTTCTCTGGTGCTGGAGACCCAGGAATGGGAGACTCCAAACCTGCCACCCAAGAGCCCATCGCCCAAGGAGGACGGAGCCTCCTGGCTAGGGGGAAGCAGTGTCATCAGGGCAGGAAGGAAGGGGATCTAGAATCATCCCTAGGGCAATGATGGGGCCCAGTGGTCCTTCCTTCCCTAACGAGGGGACGCTGTGTGCCGATTGGGGTCTGGAACACAGGCTGTGACCAGGTCACTGGGTGGCCCTGCTCCCGCCCCTGCTCCTCGGACACCTGCACCTTGGCATGAGGGGCAGCAGCCCCCCGACAGCAGCAGCCCAGCGAGTAGCGTCTGGCCCGTGAGAGGCCACAGGGACTGGTGCTGGCATCTCTAGTTTCCGCACAGCTGCACACAGCCGCCACCTCTCGTGTGTGGGGGCTGGGCATCCACTGTGTGTCAAGCCCAGAGCCCCCCTGTGTCCACTGCCTTGCTCCCTCTGGGCCTCTGCGTGGACCCTCTGTTCGGATGTTGGACTCTGCGAGCTCAGTTGAATGTACACCAGGTGTGTCCCTGAATGACAATGATGTTGGGATGTCCAACCCGTCCGGCTCATCTCCCATGACCTGAGGATGGCAGAAAGGCTGCCCAGGGCCCTGCCTGGTCTCCTCCAGGGCTGGAGCTCAGCACGGGCCGGGGCCCCTCCTGACCAGCACTATGTAGTGGCTCCCCTACGGCACTGCCCCATGGTCATCACTGTGCCCACAGTCTGATCCACAAAGACCGACTGCCCAGATGAGATGTGAGGCAGAGTGGACAGGACATGCTGTGGAACATCTGTGTTGGTGAACTGCGACCCCAGTTAACACTGACCCCAGCCCGTGCCTCCGGGGTCACACCTTCCTGTGCTTGAATAAACACAAATCGCGACACCTGGGGTCCATGTGTTAAAAGGGTATTTGTACTTAACGCGCCAGCCACTGTGCTCTGTCCGAAGGGCCAGGAGCAGTGACAAGAACGCTGGCCCTCTGCACCCAGGCCCCCAACTAATCCCCAAATGCTTCTTCTCGTCTTTTCTTCGGCTACGAAAAAGAAGGTGTCAAAACTCTCACCAGGTACTACAGTTTGAATCTAGCATATTCTCACGGCAGAGTTCTTTCAACTCTGCTCCTTAAGACCAGCACAAACATCAACAATGCCACACAATCAAGAAACAGAAGACATCACTTCACTCCCTCCATGTTGCGGGCAGTGACGGATTCTGATTTCGTTGTTGCTGGGTCCACCTCATCTGTCTGTGGGCGTGAAAGGTCCAGTGCCCAGCACCGGGCTGGCACATGACTGACTTGTGCTGGGGCAATGGCCAGTGCCTCGGGTAGGCATTTGTCATCTCCTCCGACTTCCATGGATAAAGCTGCAGGTCCGGGGTTTGGTGGGCTGCAGCATTAGCAGAGTTGCCCTTGTCCCCGGGGGGCACAGAGCCAGGCTGGGAGACTAGAGCACCGAATCCGGGGGTCTCTCAGTCCTGGGGTTCCGATCTCTGTTGTGAAACCGGCCTCCTTGACCTCCATGGAGCCTCCTAGGGCCCTCCTGGGCAGAGGGACACTGGGAAATCTGGTGACTGGGAGGGGGCAGCCAACTCAGCTCGGGGCAGCCTGCAGGTCCTGCCACCGGCAAAACAGAACCAAAGGCCAAGCCCTGACCGAACACCCCCTGAAAACTTCGCTGAGCAGCTGTGGCCACTGGCCAGGGAGTCGACCGGGACTCCTGGACACTCCAGCAGGACAGGCGGAACCAGAAGGGGGCACCCTGCAGGGCTGATGGACCTGCTGGCCGGGGGAACAGCCACAAATGCCTGAGGTACTAGCCCAGAGGAGCCAGAGGCCTGGGCACCCGTGGGGAGTGGTGTGACCAAGTCAGAGCAGGTGTCAGACACTAATGACCTCATATTGCTTTTCTCTTTCCTTCATGTCATTTGCATGGTTTATTTCCTTTTTTTATTTCCTCTTTGTATAGATACAGGAAGACAGTTGATGCTATGCTTTGTAACATGGGAGTTAATTGACTCCATGTTAAAATAATATTTACCCCGGGCATCCATATTTACTTGGCTTAAGCCTCAGTTTTCCTTAGTTCCAGGAATTCCCAAAGCAGGGTCCCAAAGAGGGGCTGGATGGACCCAGGGCAAGCTGTGAGCTACCCTGGCATTGAAATGGGCCAGACCAAGTGTCACAAAACTTAACTATAAGTTAAGAGCATGTCATGCACAAATTCTGACATGATCCAAAAAGAAGCAACTGAATAAGGACCCTTCTAGGGTTAGGAAAGACTTTAATTATATTAATAACCTGGGGATTGTGATCTGGGATATGTAGTGAGATGTCCCCAGGATGAGCCAAACTTTAAGCTTAACATATCTCTTACTGTGTTCATACAAAAATGACATTACTAGAAATATTATAAGAAATAAGGTAAAAGGTAAAGGTAAAGGCCCTCCCGTTGATCGTCGATTTGCTCGAGCGGGCCCAGTAACGTCTCCATTGGAGACTTTGTTGTTACTGTGTCTGGCATATCGAATACTCTTGGTAGCTTGCCAGGCTCTCCGAGAGGGGCGGAGGAATCGAACTCGGGTCAGCCATGTTGGCCGCTTGTAAGAAATAAATTTACTATAATTGTTAACATGAATTACTAGCCGAGGAAAGGAGAAAGCAATACACACTGGATGGAATCCCACCCTTGAGTGGATCTCCTAGTAATCTGGAGTAATCTCCTCAGGTGATATTTTGTCCTTTAGTTGATCTCTTAAAGGAGTGGCCTTACCTCTCTTTGCTGTTATGACAATGTTCAACCCCACCTTTGGACCCCCACTCTTCATGATTTCTAGATAACTATGCTGTAAGGGGCAAGAGAGAACAAGACGTTGAGGACTAGAGGGTCTATGAGGGCTAGAAAGTTGACGACATGACGTTGAAGACGAGGAGGAGAACGGACACTTTGGAGACTTGAGACTTTGAGGACAAGAATATGAGGACTATGAGACAACAACAAGACGAGGAAGGAGATAATGAGGTAGAGAACTTGAGGTCTACAAAGAGACTAGGATGA